AAAAACAGCAAGGTGGCCACATGTTCTGACCTCCTCTAATCCCACAAGAGGAAGACAGGATTACCAGCAGTAACCCAAGGCCTATTACTTCAAGGCCAGACATGCTGCCTCCCTCCAGTCCTTTCACCACCCGTTCCTCCCAAAGCACCCACCACCTCTCTCCTGGGTTTGATAATTTGCTGCAGTGGCCACACAGAGCTCACAGATTATGGGGTTTATTAGGGAAGCACCACAGACTACAATTCAAGTTCAGGGAAAATGCTCCGTTTCTCTCCCAGCACACCAGCCCTCAGCCAACAGTCTCTCACAGTCTCTCTCAGTAGTGCATGTCCCTCGGTGTCTTAGTCAGCAACGCGTGTCTCTTGCATCTCTTTCCCAGCAACACGTGTCTCAGGAGCCCGTGGCTCAGCAGCACGTCTTCCTCAACCAGCAGTCAGAGAGAGTTCTGCCTCTAGGAGGCCTCCTTTTGCTCTTGACAGAGTGGCCAAACTAGCCAATCATAGCATCAGAACTCTAAGCACCTGAGAGAGAACCTCCCATGACATTGCATTGTGCCACGCCCAACACAAATATCCCAGGTGGATAGCATTTACAATCAGGAGCTCCTCAGTTGCTTATTCCACCACTGAGTTTGCAATGACTTATGGGTAGAAAAGCCATACTAAGTAATTTACTACACTGCATCATCAAACATGAAATCAAGGTGCATTGCTTATTACATCTGTAATAAAAGAAGCAAGAATGGTCTTCTGCTTCTTCCCAATCTTTCTTGGTCTAGAATTTCCATTGAAACTGTTCACCATGTGTGACCCATGCTGGTATCTGAAATACCAGTGACATTGCCTCCAACCTCAGAGCAACAAGGAAACCACCACAGTAAAATGAACTGACATAGTGGAATATAAAAGTTGGAAACAAAGAAGAATCATCAGTTATTGGAAAATATGATGCCATAGATTGCATGATAGAATTTTATACAACCAACAAGTTCTTCATCACTTATACCTGTTTGCAGCAACATATACTGTGGCTATTCACAAGGATGGCCCCATATGGCATACACAGGAATCCAATTGACTACCTGTGTGGACCGAGGTGATGGAGAAGCTCACTATCTTCAGGCAGAACAAGGCCAGGAGCTGACTGGAACAGAACATCAATAACTCATATGCAAGTTAACTTAAAACTGAAGAAAAGTCAAACAAGACCACAAGAACCCAAATATGACCCTGATCATACACCATTTGAATTTAGAGACCATCTGAAGAATTGATTTGACACATTGAACACAAGTGACCGAAAACTAGTTGACTTATTGGAAGACATCAAGAACATCAGTCACAAAGAAAGCAAAAAGTAATTAAAAAGGCAGGAAAGTACAGAGTGGATGTCATGAGACTCTGAAAATTGCTCATGAACAGAGTGTGGCTTCAACAAATGAATGAAATGACAAGATAACAGTCCTGAAGAGAATGTTTCCAAAAGCAGCTCAAGACACAGAGTCGCTTACTGTAATGAAATGCACAAAGACCGGCTTGGCATTTCTCAAGCTGAAAGAACTGATGACATAATTCAAGTCTGGAGTTGCAGTGTTCAAGGATTCAAATCATCTTTATGGATAACATTGAGAAGAATGGCAATTCCAGAACACTTGATTGTACTCATGAGGAACCTGTACAGAACAAGGAGACACTGCACGGTTTAAAATCAGGAAAGAGTGAGTCAGTGTTGAATCCCTTGCTCCTATTTATTCAATTTGTATTGAATAATGTGGAGTGTGGAATGTTTGTAATATGGAATGTGGAATGTTTATAATGTAATAATATGGAGTGTGGAAGCGCAAATATGTCAATTTGAAGATTAAGGTACACCTAATCCAAGCCGTGGTGTTTTAAAATGCCTTCTATGCATATGAAAGCTGTACATTGAAGAGTTGATGCTTTTCAATTATAGTGTTGGTGGACAATGCTGAAAAAATCATGAGCTTACAGAAACGATGTGCAAATACAATACTCCTTGGAATCGACAGTTGCCAGACATCGTCTTACCTACTTAGGTCACGTTTTCAGAAAGGACCATTTCCTGGAGAAGTATATCATGCTTGGTAAACTGGATGGTCAGCAAAAGATGGGAATACCCTCCAGAAGATGGATTGACACCTCGGCGGCAACTATGGGCTCAAGTAGAGGAAGGATTGTAAGGATGGGCCTGGCCATACAGCTTTGTTTGCTCTTCTCGCAGTCTGCAGTACTTCAAGTATTCTCCATCAGTGCAACAACTGAAAACCATCGATGCTTCTTTGTTCTTCCTTATTCCCTGTCTAGCTTTCACATGCATATGACACAATTAAAAATATTAAATAAAAATTGGGGTTTGCTTTTGGGGCACCTTATTCATCGAGAGACGTCTTTCTTTGCTCTTCAGCAGTTTAAAGCAGTCTTGTATAGCAGATTGAGCCAGGGCAATACATCATCAGTTTTCTTGACCCCTGCTCCCATGGGTTTAAATTGTGGACCCAAGTGATACGAATCATGGTTTCAGTGTTTTATCAGTGTATCAGGATGCTGCTTGTTGGTCCCGTTGTGAGGATTTATTTATGCTGTGTTGTAATCCATAGTGCAGACTGAAGTATTAAATCTGTATCAGTAAATGCTTCAAGTCATGCTCACTTGCAGTAGGCAAAGTTGTGTCGTCTGCATATGGTAGGTTGTTAATGAGTCTTCCTCCAATCTTGACGCCACATTCTTCTTCATATATTCCACATTCTCAGATTATTTGCTTTGCATACAAATTGAATCAAAAGGAGAAAAGAATTCAACCCTGGCTCACTCTTTCCTGATTTTAAACCGTGCAGTGTCTCCTTGTTCTGTACAGGTTTGTCATGAGTACAATCAAGTGTACTGGAATTGCCATTCTTCTCAATGTTATCCATAATTTCTTATGATCCACACAGTTGAATGCCTTTGTGTAGTTAATACAACAGTAGCAAACATCTTTCTGGTGTTCTTTGCTGTGAGCCAAGACCCATCTGACATCAACAATGATATTCCTCATTCTGCGTCCCCTTCTGAATCCAGCTTGCCTTTCAGGAAGTTCCCTGTCAATGTACTACTGCAAACATTTTTTAATTACCTTCAGCAAGATTTTACTTGATGTGACATTAATGATTTTTGTTTGTATCACCTTTCTATGGGATGAATACCAAATGGATTTATTCCAGTCAGTGGGGCAGGTAGCTATCTTTGAAGTCTCTTGGCATAGATGAGAGAGTTCCTCCAGCAGGGCATCCCTTTTGCAGAAAGATCTTAATTGATATTTTATCAGTTCCTGGAGCCTCGATTTTCCCCAATCCCTTCAGTGCAGCTTTGACTTTTTCCTTCAAAATAGACACTTATCTCTATGTACATACACACCTACACAAATGCATATATAGACACATATTTATTTATATGTATAAATCTAGCTGAAAACTAAGGATTCAGAAAATTTTCACATTGCAAAAGTTTCATGAATGTAAGATAGAATATTTTACACATTCTTCCCTTTGACCCAATTACCAGAAAGCCTAGTATTCTAGAAAAATAGTAACCGTAATAGTAATATATCAATAGATAAATTGACCAATGAAAGAAGAGATAAATCATTGTAAATCCATGCACATTCATCCTGTTTGATGATGATGAAATGAGAACAAATTTGTTTCCAACAGCATGTTTCCTATCTTTAACAGAAGTCATAATGGAAAGATCCTCTATGAAACTAATGAAGACAGTCAGTGTGGGAAAACCTGCAGCCATGTTTGGAATGTTGCTGTGGTACAGAGGAACCCTCCGGAAGTCAATCCTTTTCAATCCTGTGTGTGGGGAATGGCCTTCATGGATGCGTCATCACCTGAACGTCACACCAGATCACACTCAACAGGGAATACCTGTCACTGTATGGAATGTGGCGCATCCTGCAGTTGTCCCTGTCACCAAACCACTCCTGTGAAAACTCTTAAGGAAGAGAAGCCCCACAAGTTTAATGTATGCAGGAAAGACGTTTGCATGTCAACCCTTAAGTTTCCTGGGACAGTGTCCAGTGGTGAGAAGCTCTGTGAACGTAAGAAATGTGGGAAGTATGTTTGTAGTTCCTTGTCCTTTTGTACACATGTGAGAGGTCATACGTATGAGTGTGAAACATGTTGCAAAATCATTAGTCATCCATCATCCCAGATGTTTCATCCAAAATTTCACAAGACAGAGAAGCGTTATGAATGTAAGGAATGTGGGAAAGCATTTAATCAGCCCTCACACCTGTCCAGACATAAAAGAATTCACACTGGAGAGAGGCCGTATGAATGTAAGGAATGTGGGAAAGCATTTAATCAGCTCTCACACCTCTCCATACATACAAGAATTCACACTGGAGAGAGGCCCTATGAATGTAAGGAATGTGGGAAAGCCGTTAATCAGCTCTCACACCTCTCAAGACATAAAAGTATTCATACTGGAGGGAGGCCCTATGAATGTAAGGAATGTGGGAAAGCATTTAATAAGCTTTCATACCTCTCCAAACATAAAAGAATTCACACTGGAGAGAGGCCCTATCAATGTAAGGAATGTGGGAAGGCATTTAGTTTTTCCTCAGCCTTGTATAGACATAAAAGTATTCACAGTGCAGGGAGGCCCTATGAATGTAAGGAATGTGGGAAGGCATTCAGTTGTTCCTCTTTGCTCTCTTTACATAAAAGAATTCACAGTGGAGAGTTGTTGTTGTTGTTGTTGTTATGTGCCGTCGAGTCGGCCCCGACTCATAGCGACCCCTCCTTGGGTTTCCGAGGCAGTATCACTACGGAAGTAGGATT